GGAGGGAGCCGATCCTGTGTGTTGAGTGTCCCCTGGTGGTCAGTGCACGTCATAGCGACCGGTCAACTGGTTGTTTGGTCGTTTGGTCGCTTAGGCTTTTATATATATAGATAAGAAGAGGTTCCCCTTCCCCAGGCAGCCATAGTCCCGCCTCAGGACCAACAACCTCCGAAGCAGAGTGAGGGCTGGGTTTCAGTCCCCTCCCCTCAGCAGGGGTGTGGCCATGCCATATGAGAATCCCAGATAGGAGACATGGCTGTGAGTTAGGAAAAGCTTCCCTGATGAGTTGAGGTTTGGGCTGGTCTCAGAGGATGAGCTGGAGTCATACAACAAGTGGAGGAGGGAGTTCTAAAACAGCAGAAAATTACAAGGAAAAGAGGCAGGTGAGCTGCTGGAGAGGGCAGGCCTAGGCAGTTTGGCACCAGCCTGCTGTGGCTGATGAGTTTGACTTCATCTCGCAGGCAGGGGCTGCCGTGTTGTGTGGCAGCCCCACTGTGTGCGTGCAGGTTGAGTGAGGAAGCTCCAGGCCACAGGGTACACTGTTCCCTATCGCATTGCACTCACCTGCCTTACACCTTCGTGCCTGGGTCTTAAGCCCCTGGACCTTGGATGCACCACTGCCTTAGGTTGTTCTCCCCTTAGGCTGGCCATGCAGTTCTGGGTAGGAAACAGCAAAACAAACCCACAGCTGTAATAGCCTCTGGCCTCAGAAAGAGTGTGAAACGGCACAGGTCCATGAATTCAGAGCTCCATGTGCTCAGTAGTCTTTGCCCTCACTGTGCAGTGGCTCAGTGAGAAAAAGGCTCAGTTTTAGAACCTTCTGGATGGCTCAGTCCCTGTGCTAAGTAAGGCAACATGGAGAGAAAATCCTTAGCAAGACTCAGGGCTGAAGCTCCCGGGACAAGGCAAGTTCCAGATGAGGTGAGAATAGAAGCTGCCAAACAGCACAGAGCTGACTGCGGGCCGGAGAAGTCCTCCAAGTGTGAGACTGATTCATTAACTGGAATGCTAATCGATTAACGAGCAGGGAAGGACTCCTGCTCATTATTCATTAGTCTCCCAGATGCCTCCTTGAGAAAACAAAGAGGCTTCGGTGATGGATGCACTGGTCGGAGGAAGGCAAGTGGCAGCTCCCTGGGGAGGTCACTTCAGATGTGTGTTTTGTGGTTAAAGTGGGGACGCTGCCCATCAGAACAGGCCTGCCAGCTATGCAGGAGCCCCCTCTTCTGGGCACTGCTGGTACCACACGTTCCCTCCACCTTTTCCCCAAATTCTCAAGAATCTTCCGTCATGATATCCATGTTCTTCACTTCAACCTTCTGGAAAAAGTCAAGGTTTGAAATTTATATTTTTCAACTGATCACAGTATGAACCTATTGCTTCCTAACATATGGAGGCCTTTGATTTTAGATCATAGATCTAATCACACTGCCCTCTAGCCCTGTTGTTACTTCAGTACTGTCTTTCATCACCCTTACATTGGTCACTGAGACAGGAAATAGAGACTATTTTCCCCAACTTGGAGGTGAGGTAACTAAGATGTAGTAAGGTGCTTGTACCACCTTCAGATATTTCTCTTCACTCCCTAGCCTGTACGCTTAACTTCTCTTGATGTGTCCAAATCACGCTCTACAAAGGGTAACTTCCGGAGGGGTCCCAGGGTGTGGCTAACCCTCCCTATAGTAAGTACAGTATTCTGAGGGTACCACTTGCTGATTTTATATCAGGATTAGGGATGATGGTGGGAGGAACAGTCTATATTACTTTTCAGCCTGAAGCAGCAAAACTTCACATTCTGGATTTTCAAAGTCAAGGTTAATTTCATCTACATGTATGGCATTACTACGTCAATTTGCTAAGTGCTTAGCCAGCAGTGATTCCACGTATACATATGAGAGTACTTTCCTATGAATCAGCCCCAAGATCAGAATGTGTTAGACAGCAGTTGGTCTGAGATGAGGAAAGTGTTCTCACTCTACTCTGGGAGGGAAAAGCTCCAGGAGCCACTTCTAAGGTTCAAGATTCCCACCTAAGGGGTGTGCTTCCAGTCCATTAGACATCTCCATGTCCCAGGGTCTCTTTGCACATCGTGCTTTGCTGTCTGTATGTCCGAGATTCAAGAACATCTATTGGACAGACACTCCTCACGTGTTCCCATGACATGGTCATTCTCTCCATCACCTAACGCCATGTTCGTCTCCATCCTCTTGCAGTCCAAGTCCTTGAGCGACAGTAAGAACCGCCACAAGAAGCCCAAGGACCCCAAGCCAAAGGTGAAGAAGCTCAAGTACCACCAGTACATCCCTCCAGACCAGAAGGCAGAGAAGTCGCCGCCACCCATGGACTCGGCCTACGCGCGGCTGTTACAGCAGCAGCAGCTGTTCCTGCAGCTGCAGATCCTCAGCCAGCAGCAGCAGCAGCGCTTCGGCTACACCAGCATCCACCCCACTCAGCTCAAGTGAGTCCCAGACCCCGGGCTGCGCACAGGGTGGGTGGCTCCTCTCTGCCCGGGCACTGGGCCAGCACCCGCGGCCAAGTCCCATGCTGCATCGTGCCTCACCTGTTATGTTTGGAAACTGGGCACACCTTTTCAGGAACATAGGCCGGGAGGGAGCAAGGAAATCAATGCCCCTGATAAGAGGCTCCCTGGGGAAAGGGCGGTGTGACCACTTTGAGACTGCAAGTGGAACAGAGAGGTTTCTCTGCAATTGGGGTGGGCGTTCAGCTGTCTCCCTGTTCAGCCTTGGGTGACGCTGGCCATTATGCTGAGTACAGCTGAGCTCCACAGGCTTGCTTCTGCTCCACAGGGCTGCATCTGCTAAATCACACATGGATACGCCCCACCCATATGCCAAAGTCTCCACCACTCCCTCTGGTCTCCCCCAGACTCGGCCTGAGTGTCACTTGCCACTTGCCAGCTAGCCTGTTGTGGTTTTCCTCACCCTGCCTGATCCTTGTAGACAATTAACTTGTGATCTCATCTAAATAGAAGTCACCCCCTAAGGGTTCTGGTCACCCAATTCCAGTACGTGGGGGATGTTTTCCCCACATCACCAAGCGATTGCCCAACACCAGCAGGGTGTCCAACAATTCACCTTCATTCTGACACTAGCTACCTGGAAATAGCATCAGAATCCACAGGTAAGGGCTCAGTCCCCAAGACTGAGGTGCTCTCACCTTCTTAAGATGCCAGAAGTTGTCCAGAAATTGTTACATGGGCTTCTGGTCAACCAACTATAGATTGGAGATTCTCACAGCCTACTCCTTGGGTTTGATTGATGTGCTAGAGCAGCTCATGGAACTCAGAGAAACATTTTACTTATAAGATCACTGGTTTATTGTGAAAGAATACAACTGAGGAACAGCCAGATGGAAGAGATGCATAGGGCAAGGTGTGGGGAGGGGCATGGAGCTTCCAAACTCTCTCCAACCGGCTACTCTGCCAGTACCTCCACATTGTCACCAACCCAGAAACATTCTGGCCCCCAACCTTTTGGGTTTTTACGGAAGCTTCATGGCAAAGCCATGGCTGATTACATCATTTGCCATTGGTGAATTCAATCTCCAGTCCCTAACCCTGCCTGGAGGCCAGGGAATGAGAAGGCGGTGGGACCAAAAGTTTCTACCCTCTAATCACGGGATGGATTCTCCTGGCAGCCAGCATCCCTCCTTAGATAGAGTCCAAAAGCCACCTCATTAACATAACAAGAGACACCTCTGTCACTCTCCTCACTTGGGAAATCCCAAGCATTTTAGTCGTGAGCCAGAAATTGTATGAACACCAAATATATATTTCTTATATATCACAATATATAGATCTGACTGTATTTCAAGTCCCTCTTTTTTGTTTTCAGGGAACAAAATGAGCAGATGGTCAGAAATCCAAACTCTTCTTCAACACCACTGAGCAGTACCCCTTTGTCTCCTGTCAAAAACAGCTTTTCTGGACAAACCGGTGTCTCTTCTCTCAAGCCAGGCCCACTTCCATCAAACCTGGATGATCTGAAGGTATAGGATTGGGCATGATTTTCTTTTCTTTTTTTAAACAAATACATCAGTACATTTTAAATAACACTTTCACCAACTGATTTCTTGTATAGAACATGATGAAGAAGAATATGGGAGAGACTCAGTAGGTGACAGAGTATTAACTGCTATGGTTAAATACCCAACCTTGACTGGCTATGCAACCTTGGGTTAGTTTCTTAATTTTTAGCACCTCAGATTTCTCATTTGCATAAATGGTTTATCATGAAAATCCAATGGAATCGTATATACATGATAGAACGTAGCACAAAGAGTAGCTATGGGATTGATATGAGCTCTGAGCCAGTGGCCAATCTCATGATGACCTCTTACCAATCTCTGGTAAAATGAGGAAAATAAAAACCATATAAAGGGCTTTTCATAAATCTAAGTATGTTCAACAGATCTGACTAATATTTATTCAAAGTACTTATTTTCTCCCAATGTTTTGAATGCTGAAAGATACTTTCCAGTAGGAAATGATGATAGTAGATGAAAGCTGAGTGTTTCTGAGAAAGTTTTGTTTCCTTTTATTTAAAGAAATATCTATATAAATAAAAGCGTAAGCAACCGAATGACCAAACGACTGGTTGACCGGTCGCTATGATGCGCACTGACCACCAGGGGACAGACGCTCAACCCACAGGATGGGGCTCCCTCCTGTCTGGATCGGGCCTGCAAGGATCGGACCTGCAGGGATCAGACCGAAACTGGCTATCCAATATCCCCTGAGGGGTCCCAGATTGCGAGAGGGCACAGGCCAGGCCAAGGGACCCCACTGGTGCACGAATCCGTGTACCAGTCTTCTAGTTATTAAATAAGGATACTAGTCCTTATTTAACAAGATAAAATGACGGTAACTCTGTGTCCATTATATAATTTAAAGCAATGTACTAGTCTATGAAATCCAGTCAGAGACCTTCTGAAATGTAGCAGCAACTTGTGACATGATATGTATGTGCTAGCAGTTTACTCTGGTCACTGACCACAGACCCTCAATCACTGAGATGCCCCTGAGCTTTGAGCTGAGCCTGGTGTGGTTCAGAGGAACCCCCAGCATGGCACACACATTTACCCAGGATTCACACAGAACTGAAAAGGGTGAGCGCAGTGCCTTGCTGCTCTGCTGTGCGAGCACACCTGCTGCCTCCTCACTCTCAATGATGGCACCTGTTTATCCACAAAGGATCTTACTTAGCATGGTTCCCAAAATTCATAAAAGTCCCCTAGTCTTCACTGGGCCAGTGCCACGGCCCTGTCTCAGTCCTCATTGCCACCCTCATTCCCACGTTCAGTACTTGGTCATTATCTTCTTTGAGGGGAGGTAGGATTGGGATTATTTCAAATTAAAGGAAATTCCATGGCTGCTGAGTGCCAACACCAGTAAATAATGTGTATCTTGGGTCCTAATATCAAAGGTTTCTCTATTCCTCCCACTTGGAAAACAAGTGCTCAGGTTTGGACTTGGCATCCATAAACCTAGACGGGGATGCCAAGTGCATGACAATGCTCTCCAGAGCCGTAGGGTACCCACCTTCTACTCCCCAGATCATAAACCCATCGAGATCAAAGCAGGCTCCCTCACCTGGGAAACATTACACCGTGAAATAAGCCAGACACAGAGACAAATATTGTATGAGTCCACATATATGAGGTACCTCGCGTAGTCAACTTCATAGAGACAGAAAGTAGATGCGGGTTACTGGGGGCTGCAGGAGGTGAGAGTGGGGAGTCAGTGTTTCATGGGGACAGAGGTTCAATTTGAGATCCCAGAAAGGTTCTGGAGAAGATCGTGCTGATATTTGCACCACATTGTCGATGTACTGGTGCCACTGAGAAATGATTAAATGGTGAGTTTTATGTTACATGTCTTCTACCACAATAACAAAGATTTCTTTTGAAAGGAGTCTCGCACTGGATGGGAGCCTGGTCAGGTAGGACTAGAGATGCCTGGGCCAGAGAAAGATGGTCCATACATGACGTGCCAGCCCTCGGGGCCCCCAAGTTCTGTTCTCAGGATCACTGGCTGGTCACAGTCCCAGTAATTAGCACAGGCATTAGGAGATGATGGTGATGACAGTGGCACTAGCATTTTTTAATATAAGCTGTCAGTCAGCCATGCTAAGTAGATTTGCTTTAAATTTTACCCCACAACATACATTTTAAATGGGAATGTAAAAATCAAAATCTTAAAGAGATTAAATAATGGATGACAAAACTGGGAGCTGAACTTAAGTGACTGATTTCAAAGGCTTTGCCACTTCAGATGAGAATGGAAAGAAAGGAAGGGACAGACAGAAGACTGGACTTGACCATGGGGTGTAGGGGAGAGGAGAGAAAGAAAGCTTAACTGGGTGAATGGAGAGTTTGCACAGGTGGAAACTGGGAAGGTAGCCTGGGGAGCTGATGTGAGGGGACACTGGCAAGTTTATTCAGTCTGGGAAAGCTGAGTCTCCGGTACCAGCAGTTTCTGTTAGAAATATACCACAAAGGGTTGGGTTCAGCTGTGTTGTTGGGCATAGGGACAGAAATTTGGGGATTGTTTTCGTAGTGGGGAGGGTTGAAACTAGAAGAGTGGATGAGATAGAAGGAGAGCAAAATGGAAAGAGTAGCGAGGAGAATGGAACAGGAAGAAAGGAAGGAGAGAAGAGGAATAAGGGAAGCAAATGATGTAATCACACTTTGGGAAAGGAAGAAATAAGAGGAATTAATGAAGGTGACCCTCCAAAAAAGTAATCAGAACCTGGCCAGTGTAGCTCAGTTGGCTGAGTGTTGTCCTGTGCACTGAAAGGTGGCTGGTTTGATTCCCGGTCAGGGCACTTACCTAGGTTGCAGGTTTGATGCCCAGTCGGGGGCATACTGGAGGCAACCAATTGATGTTTCTCTCTCACATTGATGTTTCTTTCTCTCTCTTTCCCTCTCCCTATCTCTCCTCTCTAAAACCAATACAAACATTTTTTTTAAATAACCAGAAAGGTAAGGCAATGAGGTGATATTTTCCATAAATGCTCATGTTTTGCTACATAGAAATTAAGGGGGGAAAGTACAGAGAATAGAGGTTAGTTTCTCATTAAAAACTTACAAGCGGTAATATCACAGTCCATTTTTTGTATTTGTTTTGGATCCAGTTTCTAACAAACTAGTGGTAGAGAGAGAGAGAGAGAATAAGAATGTGAAGGTGAATGGGAAATTTAAAAACTGGGGCAATATTTGATAAAGACTAAGAAATAATGGTTCATATTTTTTAGATGCGCTAATGGTATTGTATCTGTGTTTTTTTAAAAGTACTTATCTTTTAGAGATAGATACCAAATTCTTACAGATTAAATTATATGATTTCCTGCAACATAATTCAGAAAACATAGGGGAAGAAGTGGTTTGGGTAAAAATGAAACAAGATTGGGCATGAGTTGATAATTATTGAAAGTGGTTGATGGTTATATGGGGTTCATTATACTTTTCTATTACTTTCATGTATGTTTGAAATTTTTCATAATAAATGGTTTACGTTATCAATGATTGAAACACCAATCAATGTAGGAAGGAGGTGTATACAAAACTTTATTCCAAGCAAGCCCACACAGCATAATATTCTGAAATGTAAGGTAAATTGAACTCACCCAGCATCCAGTTCACTTTAGAATATGAGCTACATTATTTGATAATGTACTTTAAATTATTCAGTGTCAGAACAGATTCCAAAAATAAATGCAGAACTCATTAATTGTAAGCAATTCAAAATTAAAACAATGAGTTGGCACTTTGTACTTTTTCCAACCAGCAAATCTAAAAGAAAATAATAAAAGCAATGCTAGCAAGACTGGGGGGGTGGGGGGGAGAGCATATGTATTGCTTGGGGCAGTGTAAATTGTCTTAATCCTTTTAAAATACCTTTTAGCCGAGTGTAAAATAATATTATTCACTAGTGAAATACATTTGTGTATAGAGAAGTAAGGAGTATTTTAAAAGGCAGTTGACTCACATAACAGATTCTATTTCCTTCTAGTCTTGAAATGCATATGGACATATTTTGCTTTAAAATAACTATGTGAGCATAAATTTCTGACATGCATTTTTGTTTAACATATGAACATTTTTTATAACTCTTAATAGTCAAAAATCCTTTAATTTTTAATAGCAGTATATTATTTCACCACCTAGTTAACATTCCTCTGTTAAACATTTAACTTGCTTCCAAATGTTTACTGTTAAAAATATAATTTGTACATACACTTATTAATTTATCTAAATATCTCCCCAGGCTAAATACATAGGAATGGAATTTCTGAACCAAAACATATTACCATTTTTAGAAGTTCTTGCTACATATTGCCCACTTTCTGTCCTGAACAACTATGCCTCACTAGTCCCAGAAGCAGTGTTAGCACTTCTCAGACATGGGTGTGCACACGAGTCACAGGGGCTCTGGGTAAAATGCAGCTTTCGATTCAGTAGGTCTGGGAGGGGCCTGAGATTCTGAATTTCTAACATGTTCCCCAATGCTGCAAGTGCTGCTGGTCCACGGACCACACTCGGAATAGCCGAATATCTATAATAATAAAAGTGTATTATGCTAATTAGACCGAACAGCCAAACAACCTTCCTGACGTCCTTCCAGACATCCTTTCGGACGACCTTCCCGATGAAGCTGCGGTGTTGTGGGCCAAGGCAGAGTGGTTAGGGGCAATCAGGCAGCCAGGCAGAGTGGTTAGGGGCTATCAGGCAGGCAGGTGAGTGGTTAGGGGAGATCAGGTAGGCAGTCAGGCAAGCGGTTAGGAGCCAGAGGTCCTGGATTGCGAGAGGGATGTCTGAGAGGTCCCGGATTGGGAGAGAGTGCAGGCTGGGCCGAGGGACCCCCCTCCCATGCACAAATTCCGTGCACCAGGTCTCTATAATAATAAAAGCATAATATGCTAATTAGACTGGAGAGCCAAACGACCTTCTGGATGTAACTCCTGACATCCTTCCAAACAAATCCACAGTGGTGAGGACCGAGGCAGAGGCGGTTATGGGTAATCAGGCAGGCAGGCGAGCAGTTAGGGACGATCAGGCAGGCAGGCAGAATGGTTAGGGGTGATCAGGAAGGCAGGCAAGCAGTTAGGGGCAATCAGGTAGGCAGCGAGTGGTTAGGGGTGATCAGGAAGGCAGGCAAGCAGTTAGGGGCAATCAGGTAGGCAGCGAGTGGTTAGGGGCAATCAGGCAGGCAGATGAGTGGTTAGGGGTGATCAGGCAGGCAGGCAGGTGAGTGGTTAGGAGCCAGTGGTCCTGGATTGTGAGAGGGTGCAGGCCAGGCTAAGGCCCCCCCCCCCATGCACGTGCACCGGGCATCGAGTTAAGTATAAAATAGCTTAAAAACAAAATAAACAAACACAAACCAAAAAACATTTTTAGCCTTGGCCAGTGTCGCTCAGTTGGTTGGAGCATCATCCCATACACCAAAAGGTGGTGGGTTCGATTCCTGGTCAGGGCACACACCCAAGTTGTGGGTTCAATCTCCAGTCAGGAGGCAACCTATTGATTGCCTCTCTCTCTCTCTCTCTCTCTCACCAATTTCCTCTCTCTCTCTCTCTCTCTCTCACCAATTTAAAAATTTTATTCATTTATTTTTGCTGCTATTTAAGTAACACAAAGTGCTATTGCAAATTTCTTTGTCAATTAGATGAATACAAAAATATGTATAATTTTTGTTTGCAAATCTTGGACTACTAATGATGGTACGCATACATTTTTGGCCATTTAAAAATGTTCTCTTTTGTGAAGAGTTGGATGATGTCCATTGCCATTTGTATGTTGGGTGTCCATCTTTCTCTTCGGGGTTGTTAAACACGCTTGGCACATCGAGCATACTAATACTTTATTATTTTTCCTGCAACTATTTTTTCTTAAACTCTATTTGCATTTGCATCTTCATTTTGTGACTGATAGGAGTTTTCAAATTTTTTTGGTCAACTTTTTATGATTAGCTTCTTTGATTTTATGCTCAAAAGGTCTTCCCATACAGAATGTCAGAAGGATATTTTCGTATATATTCTTCTAGCTGTTTCATGGAATTATTGACATTTAGGTATTTAATATGGTTCCTGTTTTAATTATAAAAGTAATATGCTTATGGGAAGTACTTAGGAAATACAGATAAAGAGAACCATCATTAACATTTTAGCACATCTTTATCCAGATATTATAATCTGCAAGCACAGGCTTAAATATATATTCATATACATTATATATATGTTCGTATGTGTGTATATATATATATATATATATATATATATATATATACAGTGTGTGTATATATATACTATATATATATAATTCTTAGAAAATAGAATGAAATAATTGAAACCTTTTAGATGTAATACTATACCATAAATAATTATTTTTATATCAACAAATATTTATAGCATCAGTTTTAATAGGTCTAAAGTATTCCATCATTTGCATTCATTATTATTTATTTGGTTTCTATTTTTTTAGATATCTGATGGTTAAAATTCATGAACATGAAAAAGTGCAGGGATGAAATAATTACATGTGCATCAACATAACAATAACAGCCCCTACATGCACTGACCATGTGCAAAGTACTCTTCCCAATGCTTTCCACTGTTTAAGCTACTTTAATCCTCACGAGAGACTATAAAGTGGTAGGATTGTCTCTGTTGTGCAGGAGCGGAGCTGGGGCACAGGGTAACCACTGAACTAGGAAGAGCAGGGCCAGCATTTGAATGGAGGGTCTTATTGCCACACCTCTCTCTCAGTAGAGCGCTGCTATTCGCCAACTGTTAAACTCAGAACAGGGTGTTAATGTACAGCCGCGGTTCTCCAACACTGGGCCGGGACCAGCGGCATCAGCGCCCCGGGAACTTGTCAGAAAGGCACCTCTCAGCCCCCACCCCTGACCCACTGAACCAGAAACTGGTGTAGGGGCCCAGCTACCTGTGTAAGAACCCCCAGGGACCCGCTACCTGTGTAAAAACCCGCAGCCTGGTTCCGGCACCTGCTGGGGTTTGAGAATCGCCCACAAGGAGGACGGGTGAGGAGGTAGGAGGCAGCACACCGAAGTTGTGCTGCAGGATGACTGGTTGCCAGCTGATGCCTGAACTTAGGCAGATATCAGTCTTCTCATCTGTAAAATGGGGACAGGACCAGGATGGGATTGGCGGGCAGCACAGAGGTGCCTCTGTGGTTCGTGTGGGCTCTACATTACCAGGAATAGGTCTATGATTCAGGAGCCATGAAAACATGGTATAGGACACATTGTAAGAGCATTATTAAAATTGTGCAAAACTGATTTATATTGGGTTCAGGGGCGGAAGTGAGACAGAAATAATAAAAAGAGAAGTGGACACTGTGAGACTGCATTTGTGATCGTTTGAAGTTAATGTAATAATAATAATACACGTTTAAAACACTGTCATGAACAGCACAGTAACGTGCCCTGCTCTCTTCAGGTGTCCGAGTTAAGACAGCAGCTTCGGCTCCGAGGCCTGCCCGTGTCAGGCACCAAGACGGCGCTCATGGACCGGCTGCGGCCCTTCCAGGACTGCGCGGGGAGCCCCGTGCCCAGCTTCGGGGACATCACCACCGTCACCTTTCCCGTCACGCCAACCGGCGCTCTGCCCCATTACCAGTCCTCCCCGTCCGCCAGCGCCTTGTCCAACGGCTTCTACCACTTCGGCAGCACCAGCTCCAGCCCCCCCATCTCGCCCGCCTCCTCTGACCTGTCGCTGGCCGGGTCCCTGCCGGACACCTTCCACGACGCGTCGCCCTCCTTCGGGCTGCACCCGTCCCCCGGGCGCCTGGGCCCCGACGACAGCCTGGTGGGCAGCCTGAGCGGCGGCGGCGGCGGCAGCGTCCCTCCCGAGCTGGACGGGCTGGACTCCGAGAAGGACAAGATGCTGGTGGAGAAGCAGAAGGTGATCAACGAGCTCACCTGGAAGCTGCAGCAGGAGCAGCGGCACGTGGAGGAGCTGCGCCTGCAGCTGCAGAAGCAGAAGCGGAGCAAGGGCGCCGCCGAGCAGGAGCCGCCGCCCTTCCTGGGGGCGCCCATCAAGCAGGAGGACGCGGCCTCCAGCTGCCCCTTCGCGGCCCGGCAGGCCTCTGCGCACAGACCCGGCGGCGCGGACGGCCAGGCGCCGGCGGGCGGCGCTGCTCCGCTCCTGCTGCCCCCGGGCGGCAGCCTCGGCCTGGAGCCCGCGGGCCAAGCCCACGCGCTTCCCTCCACCTTCCTCAGCCCGCAGTGCTCGCCGCAGCACTCGCCGCTCGGCGCCGTGAAAAGCCCGCAGCACATCAGCTTGCCCCCATCGCCGAACAACCATTACTTCCTACCTTCGTCCGCAGGTGCTCAGGGAGAAGGGCACGGGGCCTCCTCACCTGCCAGCACCCAGGTGTGTACTGCACAGGTAAGAACTCCTTGCCCACACCCGCTGCACCCCCTTCCTGGAAGCGGGGTGTGGATTTGCTAAGAGCAAATCAACTCTCCCCTGTAGCACGAAAACAGCTGCAGACAACTTATAAACAAGTGCACGTGGCTGCGTTCCAATAAAGCTTTATTTACCAAATCAGGTTTGGCTCCCAGGGCTGTAGATTGCCAAACTCTGTTTTAGGATTCCTTGGCACCACGCCTCAGCATAGGCCCAACCAATTCATTCCAAGAGCCAAAAGGGAAGTTACCAGACCTTACTGGTCTCTGTGTGGTTGGTCTGCAGAGTGCAAATATTTACTGAGCACCTACTGTGTGCCAGCCCAGACCCTCTTTCAGTCTCCTGGGACTAGTGCTGAACTAACAACAACAACAAAAATTCCCTATTCTCATGGGGAGACAATAAATTTAAAAAATAAATAAAATATATAATGTATTAGAAGATGATATATCTTATAGAGAGAAAGCAGAGAAGGTGGGTGAGGAGTTTGGAAATTTGCAACCTTAGGTAAAAGGGCCAGGGACATTTGAGCAAAGCTTTCAAGAAGTGAAGGAGGAAGCCTTGTGAATATTTGGGGTGCAGACAGCCTAGGCCAGTGGTCGGCAAACTCATTAGTCAATAGAGCCAAATATTAACAGTACAACGACTGAAATTTCTTTTGAGAGCCAAATTTTTTCAACTTAAACTATATAGGTAGGTACATTGTTATTAACTTAATTAGGGTACTCCTAAGCTGGCCTTTGCTAAAAATGTCCTCAATCTGATTGAGGTACGTTCGCTGAGGTCGACCCCTTCCAACTCTCCCATCCACACTCGTCTTGTATACTTGTTTCATCTATCTCCTTTCCAAAAACCGACTTCTGGGCATGGGCCACGAAGTTTCAATCGCACTGTACATGCACACCCGCACGTGGTATTTTGTGGAAGAGCCACACTCAAGGGGCCAAAGAACTGCATGTGGCTCATGAGCCACGGTTTGCCGACCACTGGTCTAGGCAAAGGAGGAACAGCAAGTGCCAAGGCCCTGAGGAGGGAGCCTGCATGGAATGTTCAAGCATCAGGTGGAAAGCCGGTGTGCTTGGGGTAGAATGAGAGCAGAATTGTAGGAGACAGCTCAGAAGAGTAACTATTTCAAAGACTAGACCAAGGTGATCATCAAAGACTTTACTTTGTCTATGAAGACAAAGAATTATTAGGAACATCTCTTTAAGTCTATCTGAGAAAAGGTTACATCATGCATGCTTGGATTACATCATGAAAAAATTCTGAGCGCTATGGCATTAATAAGGGAGTAAGAAGAAAACTGGCATTAATTGCACTCCTGCCACGTACATGTATATGAATATGAGTAATCTTGTTCATTGTGACAACAACCTTTTGGGCTCCGGTTAGTTATTCTTTATTTGCCGCTGGGGAAAGTGTGGCTCCGGGAGGTGAACCGGGGATTATCTGATTCTAAAGCACATGCTCCTTTCACACTGACTATTCTCTACCCCGGGAGTATGAGGTGTGGCCATAGGTAATGAGAAGACATTTTTGCAAACCCAGTGGAGCAATACATTCAAATGAATGATGCCCACCCATTTGGGAGGAGTTGGGACTTAAATGCATTATCATCATCAATGACAACATTTATTGAATGCATAGTGTCCTGGGCAACAATGGTAAACACAGCTCTTTTTACATAGCTCTGCACATTCAGTTCTAACTATATCGATACTCTCCAGAAGAACCAACATTTGTACAGTGATTTACAGTTTACAAAGCACCCTTTGAAGGCATGAGCGATTGCTTGATAAAAATATATTGAGCAATCCAGGATAACATTACTGACTTGTGTCTATGACATTGCGATAGAGGTAGGGGTGGCAGATTGATCATGAAGGGCTAGAAAAGTCCGGTAAGGCTTTGAGAAGGGGGTAGACTTAAAAGGAAGTGTAGCATTCAAAAAGGAGAGTTTGCAAAAAGGCATTCCATGAGGGGGGAAAAAATGATAGGGAGGTAGCATGTACAGGGTATGCTGAGGGGAGCTCATAAAGGGATTAGTGGAACTTAAACTTGCAGAAGGAACTAGTACTTGACTAAAGTCTTGAACACTAATGTTGGGGAGAAGTGGAACCCTATGCTGTGGATATGTAGGAGCCCCTGAACGTTTTGAGCAGTAGGTGATACATAAAAGCCAGAACTGAGACTTTGGTAGTGGAACTTACCAGATCCAGGTGTTAACAAAGGCTACTCTCAAGAATGCCACTGATGGTCGCTTGACTTGTGCTTCTTTCTTTCTATAGAACTCAGGGGCACACGAGGGCCATCCTGCAAGCTTCTCCCCTCAGCCTTCTGGCCTCCACCCCCCTTTCTCTGGAGCCCAGGCAGACAGCAGTCATGGTGCTATGGGCAATCCTTGTCCCCAAAGCCCAGGTGTACAGCAAAAGGTAGGCATCTGGGAAAAGGTTTAAACTTGGGATTGACTTCTTCTTTCTTTTGTGGATCCTTTTCATCCCAATGATGAGGTTTTATGGCAGAAATAAATGACATTTTAGGTAGAAACAGGCCTGAAATGGATGTACCAATGTAAGTTAGGAGGTACTTCAAGAAGTCATTTCCCGGTGTTATTCCAGAAGTCATGGTGAGTACCATGACCCTGGTATGTTTGTGAGACACCGTGAGAAACAAACCGGTTTCAGTGAAGCTGAAATAGGGGAGTGTGGGACATACTGGTGGAGAAAGTGAAATACATGGGTCTGTGGAAAGGATCAGAGGGATCCAGAAAGTTGGGGTCACAGTACAATAGCCCTGCAAAATAGGAAGAGATGATGCATTTCAGCAGGTGGAAGAGTCAGGAGTGTGAAGGATGTGGGGAGTCCAAGGGCAGGGGGGAGGTGATAAAGAGCAAGCGTGATGGCCAACACAGAGGTGCTGCATACTGCCTGCTGGGGTCAGGGTCCTGGAGACAGAGACCCTGGAATGGCCTATCCACAGGACACCCTCAGTGCACGAGGCTGGTCTCCAAGAGATTCTCCCAGCCATGCCTGCAGCTCTCTGCAAAGGCACCAGCCACGAATGTAACAGCTGGGGGATAAGTTACTCTGGAAACTCCTGGGGTGGTGGACTTCTTAGGATTGGACTGGACTCTTTTCCTTTTCTCATCTTGCTTTCTCCTAACAGAAGAGGGTGCACCTTGGAGCGAGAAATGAATCTGTGAGGTTCCCATTCTAAAATGCCTCCAGCAATAAGTCCATAGTGATATATACTATTGTTAATCTACTCGGTTTGTTTTCCTAGCCCACGCTCTCTTTTTTCCCTTAAGTCTATTTTTCCAAAATTTAGCCCATAGTTTCCATTACAGAATCAGTACCAGATCTGACACATGAATTGTCTGTTTCTGCATTTGACTCACACAGATGGCTGGTTTGCAGTCTTCTGATAAAGCAGGACCAAAGTTTTCAATTCCATCCCCAACATTTCCTAAGTCAACTTCAACAGTTGCAGAGATAACACAGCCTCCATCCTATGAAGATGCAGTAAAACAGGTAAGCACATGATTTGTTCTTTATCGAAGAATAGGCTGGCTGAATTGCACTTTGTTTTACATGGGTTCATGCATGTGGATTCTGGTATTGAGTGCATCTGGTGCCTCCCACCAGAATGGACAGTGGTAGATGCTAACTACAGAAAGGTGTTGGTGTGTATGTAAGCTGTGTGAGGCCGAGAGAGAGAAGAGGTTTGTCTGGGTACCCAGATGACTGGACTTAGTGCCAGCTCAGCCACCAGACAGCTGCACTGCCACTAAGGATGGGCAAGAACTCAACTTCTCTTATATGAAACAGGGCAAATATCTCCTTTGTAATGATTCCAAATGATATAACACTTACCTCTACCGTTCTAATACCAAATGTCCAGGCAGCAGATAGGTCCTCCAATATATGAGAGCAATGGTCAGTGTGACACTTCCTAGGGTTCTTCCTAACTTCAAAATTCACTGTTCTTGGCAATATATTGATGGTTATGGAGCTGGATAATAACAGAGGTTTATTTGTGTTTGAAATTCTTCAAAAGAAAAGGTACAAAAAGAAAAGCAATTAATGGTCTTATTTTCCAAATGGCTTGAGTTTGGATAAAGTATCAGCTAGCCCTTCATATGTACTCAATCCAGAAAAGATCTGCATCGCTTCCTGCATACTGGATTCCACAGATCACATCAGCCTGCAGTTAGGTTTTACTTGGCTTAGAGAGTATTTTAAATATGTAGGAGATTTTGTGCAAAACCTAGGCTTTCTCATTTCGGAAAAATTAGGGGATGTGTCTACACTGAGGCCCCATTTCTTTCAGAAAATAGTCACCTGAGGCACAGTATCCACTGCCTTCTTGAACCACAGCATGGGTTCAACACTCCATCCTTCTCTCCTGTTCCACACTGGGACCATTTGCATTGCCTGCCAGACCCTGCAGGCATCTAATGCCTCCTGGCCTGGTGAATGACTCATTCTTGGAACAGTGCTCCCATCTGTATTCATTACTGACACCTGTGTTTATTGAGACTGGACTCTCAGAGGAGTGAGATCAATAGATGTCTTAGTTCTCCCCATTTCCTTTCCCTGGTATCTGTAAATATCACAGTTTCAAAAGAAAAGAAAAAGGCCAAGCAAAGTGGATTTACATTAATAAGACTCTACTTAATGCAGATGAGCCAGAGGGAAGGGGTCCAGTCCCTACAGGTGTTGACAAGTTCCACAGTCTATTGCAATGAAGAACTAGGGAAACATGAGCCACATTCTTAGGCCATATTCACTTCAAAGTGAGATAAGGGGCCAAAAACCAGTTACACCCATGTTTATAGTAGCATTATTCACAAAGCCAAAAGGATGAATGGATAAACAAAATGTGGTATAGAGACCTTGGGACCAAGATGGCGGCATAGGTAAACACCGGAGTTTGCTGCCTCGAACAACCACTTCAAAAATACAACTAAAAGACGGAACGGACATCACCCAGAACCACAGGAAGGCTGGCTGAGGAGAGACTCTTCAACTAGAAGGAAAAACAACAGCATTACGAGGCTTAGAGGAGGCGCAGTGTGGAAAATTTAAAGGTACGGTGGTG